AGTTATGCATCCTAGGAGCCTTCGTGTTTTACGTCTTGCATAATCAGTTTGTTCAGAGAACGTTAAGTTACTAGAGTATCTGATACCGAGATCTACGACTGAGTTGAGCTTGGCTAGTTTACGCCCATTAATTTCAAGATTCAGGTCAAGGTTACTGTTTCCGATACAAATCCAGCCGCATTTATCAATGTTGAACTTTAGACAGGATTCAGTACACCATGTTGTGAGACTACTTAGTTCAAGATGTATTTTATTTACCATATCGCTTAGTTCATGAGCGTAGCAGGAGTAAACGACTTTGAGGTCGTCAGCATATAGGAATGATTTACCTGAGGTGAAGCAGTTGCAAATGCTGTTAATGTATACTGTAAATAAAAGTGGACCTAGGACACTACCTTGCACAACCCCACTTGTGATCTGCCTAGGATGAGACAATACAGATCCAACCTTGGTTATTTGTACCCTATTGCTTAGAAACGATTTTAACCAGCTCAGTAATGGATTGCGAATCCCACATGAATACAGCTTCTCAAAGAGAATACTGTGAGATACCATGTCAAATGCCCTAGATATGTCGAAGTAGAGAACAACAACTAGCTTACGTGCTTCGCGACTACTAGTGATGCAGTTGAAAAAGTCGAAGTGGCAAGTAACGCAAGACCTATTTTTGAGAAATCCGTGTTGAGAACTTGTAACAAGATCTTCCTTAAGTAGATAGTCTGACAACTGATCTCTGACAACTTTCTCCATGATTCGAGAGACAACTGGGGTTATATTTATGGGTCTGTAATTGCGGACGTTTGCCTTATCACCGGATTTATAGTGTGGAATTATGAAGCTAGTTTTCCACTCATTAGGGTAAGTGGCAGTGTCCATAGATATTGAGAAGAATTTAAGAAGTAGTAGGGGTATATCACACCCACTGTTTTTGAAAATTATAGAAGCAAGGCCATCTGGTCCCGTGCTAGTGGAAGGTTTCAGGCTTTTAACTGCTTGTTCTATTAATTGGTCGGTGAACACTATGCTTCCGAGGAAAGAGCTAGTAAGGGGGCCGGTGTCACCAGGAATGCACATTTCTAAACTGAAGTTTGCAAACCATTCACTGAATATTTCACAGATGGTGGCAGGCACATTGTAGATAACTTTGTCATGAAGTAAATAGGGGATGTCCCTAGTCGACTGCATTCGTTTTTTAAGAAGTGTTGTTAAGTTATAAACTTTGGAGGTGCATTCAAGTGCCCTTAATTCTTCGTCGAGGTCCTTTTGAGAGCGTTGGCGCTTGATAGATTCAAGAGACTCGTGGATTGAGTGCAGTAGTGATATATCCTTAGTGGAATAGTACTGTTTCTTCTACTTCCTTAACTTATTGCGGTATGACCTCGGAATGTATTCAGCTTGGTGTCTACTTAATTTCACTACCTTCTTAGGAGCAACAGTATCCAGACAAACGATAACATTCCTGTAAAATAGGGACACTACAGCCTCCAGGGAGTCAGTGGTAAAATATTCATCCCAGTGACAGAGTCGAATGAGTTCTTGGACTAATCCCCAGTCTGTATGTTTGTAACTACGACAAATCAAGCTCCCTGAATGCTGTTTGTTTCCTGTATTTAGTGGTGAGAAAGGCAGAGAGCAGAGTACCACTCTATGGTCACTACTGGAAAATCTGTTACCAACATAGGTGGAGACTGGGATTGTGTCATGACAAAACACAAGGTCCAACATGTTGTCGCCACGAGTAGGTGTCTGGACGTGTTGCTGCCATCCATAACAATCGATAGTGGCAAGTAATTCGTCGAAGCGTTGGGGGCCGGAACTACTTAACCAAATGACTTCTGGAAGATTGAAGTCCCCTGCAATTATTTTGTAATTAGTACTAAACGATGAGGTGTGTGCGAATGATTTAGCTAATAACGCATCAGTTTCTTTGGTTGAGCTTGGTGCTCGATAAACACAGCCTATGAGAAGCTTGTACTTGTCTCCTTGTAAGACGACCCAGAGTGAATCAGGTACCTCGTTCAGTATTTCATCTTCCACCCTACTGGCTACGAATGAGTTATGTATATATATGAGACATACTCCACCACGCTTGCAGTCTCTATTTGCACGGCGCACAGTGTAATCATCTATGCCTATATGCACATCATGTACAGAGTATGAGCACCATGATTCAGTAATCAGAGCTACAGTAGGCTTGGCGATAAATAATAATGTCCTTAGTTCAGATATCTTATTGATTAAGGAACGTGCATTAATTAGCAATATCGTGAATAAGTCACGGGATACTACAAACTGGCTTAAGATATCACCATAACCTAACTCTGTTTGTGCGTCAACAACGCAAGAGTTTATGAATGATATGGGGGTCGGACTGGGTGTCTGTACATCGGGGTTAGAGTGCAGTGAGGTGGTCCTAGGTGCCATGGGTCGTACCAGTGATTCGGGACACTTGGAAAATTTACCATGTGTTCCTGGATATAAGGATAGTAGAGGTTGGTCCTGGGTTGATGGTTAAAAAGCATAGCATCAAATGGTCTACCCATCCACGTGCTATCCGTCATACCAGTACACACTTTCGTGTTGGTTTTATAACTTAAAGGAAATTGGGAGGGAAGGTTGCAAGACTTTGGGGGTTTTGGGGCCTGACTTTCTATAAGGTGGAGCATACTGAAAACCACCAGATATACTTGTGTTTCGAGAGGAACTTTTCGTAAGAGGCGAGAGTTTTTTGACAGTCTTACTTTCAGCAAGCTTATTGAATACAAAGTATTCTTCCCCATCATTGGTCTCAACCCGGCGAAATTTGTTCATTGTGGTGAGGTCACCACGTTTGGGTAAGAATTTCTTAGAACAGCTTGCAGCAGTTCTACCTATTTTAACAACTTTTGGTGAGACGTTATTTACAGGGGTGCTGGTATCTAAATCAGTTCCTAGTTCCATTGCCATGCGTGGTTGTTGTGTGGTTTGCTGAATGCTAATGTCAGCATTAGGTGACTGTTGCTGTGCACGATCGTTTTTGGGTAATTCTAAGCTAGAGGAGGTGACCAGGTTATTACTACGCATTATTCTGCGCTGACAGGGTGTTTTATCCTGAGCTATGGTTATAGACTTATAACTGCTGTTCAGTCTTAGGTGATCCTGACATTTAGTAAACTTACTAGAATCAAGGGAATTACTGAACTTAAAAATAATGGGACAGTTAGCCTGGTTAGACTTTTTACGAAGTCTTTTGCATTCACATGGAACACTAGCCATGCCGCAACAAATCAAGATTTTGTGTTTTACAGTCTTCAGAGGAAGAGAATCTGGGACATTGTTAACTGTAGCCTGGTGAGAAGAGATTATACGCCTCATCACCTCCGCAGCCAAGCAGTCAATCAGATTTTCAGCCTTATTTAGGGTGTCTGGAGACATTTTAGGATGCTTTCTTAACAGACAGGCTATTGGGTCTAAATCCGAAAGCTTGCTTTGGGTTACATCCAGTAAAGACTTAACCTGGCCAATATCAGAACCGCTCTCCGTGATATTTGACATTGGCAGTGACATTCTATCAAACTGACCTAATTTTTCCTGAAGTTCATTTACTTGTCTCTGGATATCTTTCACAAGGAGGTCTAATTTACAGATCTCAGAGTTCTCTAACAGAACATCTTTCATCTGTATCACAGGAGTGAGAATTGCACTCAAGCCATTTTGTGAGCTAGTAGTTTATGCTGTATTACAGGGTGGTAATGCAGTTATAACCGAGGTTGAGGCACTATCTAAAACAACTGTGTTTCTACGAACACGTTTTTTTTTAGAAATTTGGACCATAATTTCAAGGATTATATGACTATAAGCAGTAAATGAATATCAGAGCAAACACGTGCAAAAATGTCACCAATTTCGAACGCACCGCCAGAAATATAATGAAGTCCATTCCTTGTAAAACATAATGAATGAGAGCTGGAATATCTTTTCAACGCTAGGTAGGCCGAGGTGCATGAGGAAAACTCGGGAAACCGCCAGAGTTAAATGAGGACTAAGGACAGGCACATGTCAATTTTACTATATACCGACACGTCTTTCAGTGAGTCATGCATTTTCATGTAAATTTATGTTTATATGAAGATATACATTATTATTATATCTGGTCTAACTATGGACAGGTTGTCGACTCAGGGCTTTTCGAGCTTTGAGTCTTCGGTAACTCTCGAAAAGCCTTTTGTCCATGCGGGCATTTTTTAGGCGACACTTGGAGTTTTCCGCCCCTTGAATTCAACACCAGCAGATGAAGTTACTACACAGTCCGTGGAGAGCTCTATGCAGAGCCTGGACAATAATACAGTGGTACAAGGACTGTGTTCACACTTAAAAATAGCACAGCAATGGCGGACACACACCCAGAATCGTCCTTTTTCGACTGCTCATTCCCCCCGTCTTACTCTTCTGACTGCTTAATTTATCACAATATATAATTATTTATATGTATTTTTAATTCCAGATTTTACTACCTATCTGTTCACACTCTTTATAATATGATTATTGTCTATCATTTTGACCATACCGGACAACTAAAGGATGAAAGGATCAACTTCACTCACAGTAGTGACACGGCCTTAACACGCTGCATACTACAAACCACACATACTCACTCTACCAGTGCCCAAGTATTATTCTTATATCAACAATCCCAGCACCATTAGCCTAGGATTCAGCCAAAGCTACGTTAGTCGAGTAGCAGGAAAACTACTCAGAAGACCAGGAACAATCGCTTAATGGCCGAAAAGCGTCTACAAAGAAATCCATTTGGTTTATACTAGGTCATAAAAGCGATATTGGTTCAGAGGTGAATGACATTGGTTGAACTACAGACTCTAAGAATGTGCACATTTACTAACATAGAGGACACGTGAAAATGGTGTGCGAGTCTGGTTATGAGAAGACCTTTTTTTGACTTTTCCGCCTGACTGAAATGATATATTGACTTGTTTTACTATTTCGCATAGTTTTGATAGTGTTTCGCTCAGTATACGAAATGAAGGTTAATCCTCAGTGTAGTTGACCTAATAGAATGTGTAGATGTTCATAGGAGGAGAAAGTGGGGTTTAAAGCCTAGTGAAAAACGGCAGACATCTTTGTCTTCTTGTGTTTTATAAAAACACCAACTGTTGTCATCTGACTGCAGTATCATACCCTATTTGGCATGGTTCGCTGTTTGACATTCCGACATGCATGCATTTTTGCATCGCTTCTCCCTCCATTAGCACTAATAATTTGTGTGATATTATGTATATCAACGCATTCATGTATTGCGACACATTGTACGGTATGTCGATATTATCAGGAGTCAGTTTCAGCAGGAATCTAATATTCTACCATCACTGAGCGCCGCCGTGGGTGACGATGAACCTCAAAAAACAATATGGTGTATCTCAATTTTCAGCAGCTCAGCTTGGAGATTTGTGATTTTAGTCAATAGCTGTATAAATTTTTGGACGTTTTTCAACATAATTGGTGACGGAAAATACCTATGGCATGCTGCTTTGCTGTGTTTTTCAAGTTCTGTTGAAATATTTGCTCTGAATATGCTTACCCTTTGGTCATCGTCAACAAACTTTAGTAAGAATCGGTATATTAGCATTTCTTTTCAGTTCAGCATCGCAACTCTTTTTGCATCTTCGTCTTATTTTCTGTGATCTATATGACCACTGATGTTTATTTGTCGCATCTGGTCATGCAACTTCTTAAAAATTCCCTCTTGGTAAGTGACGTGAATATGCAATTCATAGTTTTATAGTATGTTTTGTTCTACATAAATTTTAGCCACAATAGTATTACCAAGAATCATTGGTTTAGTCATGGGTTAATGAATACGTTTATTAAATATTAATGCTGTCCATTAGGTTTCTGTTTCAGTGTCAAAATGTCCGCTAACATTATCAGTAAACCGTTGAGTGCTTGTGTTGGTGAAAACCTGCCCATCCCTAAGGATGAATCATAGCTTTTGAGGCACAACAACCTTTTAAAAAACTTCACAACTGTTAGTAGTTCATTTTCTCCTAGTCTAAATGACTTTTGAGTTTAGCACCCTGGGATATATATTGCCTGTCCATTCAAATCTTCGTATGTAAATCATTCGACCTAACTCCTCGTTTCATTGTATAAACATGAATGTAAGTTAATTCTGGACGGACTCACCCGGTTATCTTTCTAATTGCTCCAAGTGTAAACTTGAGAACAGCTTTTTCATACATTGTTTATCATTACTACTCTTTCCTATGTTCAACTTAGACTGAACGCCAACTAACACCACAATTTTCTTGTTTTACAAAAATCAGTATTACAGTATTGTTCGTGATCATAACGCCTTGGTATGATTTTGATCAGTAAATTGTGCTTGGAACATCACCAATAGATTGTACTGTCACTGTTTTTCTTTTCAGATACAATTATTCTATGATAAAACTATGCTGTAACGCAAAGCCCAGTCCGATGGATCTGGGAGATTACATGTAGTAAATGCTTTGCTTCATTTAGAACGATTGTGACCCATGTCACCGATACTCCCCAGACATTGGATCTTAGCATCCTGAGGTCCCCAACCAAGTAGTCTATACCTTTCCCAACATAGCTCAAACCTGCTGCTAAATACTCCATCGATTGATGCCAGGTTCTGAATTGACCACCTATAACTCCCTTCCAACCCTATTCTATATCAGCAAACGTGGCTTATCGAGTCGGGCAGTGGCTCGGTGAGTGCAACAGGTGTCTTAGTCATCCCAGTTGATTTAGCTTCACCGATTGAATTCCCTTTATCATCTAACACCAATGTTGTTCACAATGCGCGAGCATTTCTGGTCAAAGACAGCTAGTCTTTCCCACTTTCACCGGTCATGTCTCATAGAGCAGACTGTTGCAATATATGCGTCCTTTGATCGACAACCAGATATCACGTCTATTCCGTTGATGATGTAAGTTGGCAGATGCCACACGAGTCTTGTGTCCGTGCCGAGATTTCGTCGGCAGCCAGTCCTTAATGGGTGATGCAACTTCATAACTAAGTAAAGTGATCAACGAGCTCTACCACTTCACCCCCTATTTTCAAACTAGTAGTCCGTGCAGCATCATCTTACATTTGACAGGTTTGAATCGCATGCTAAATATACCACGATTTCTGCTGAAGGTGTTCAGGAGATGCTGCATTTTGTCAAATCCTAAGTCGCTATAGTCGACTGGGGTCAACTGTATTAGTACATCTATGATGAAATTAGACAGAAGTAGGGGCAATGGGCATTCCTGACGGATATCACCAATTTTCATCATTTCAGATGACAACTGTACGTAACTCTAAAACCTGGGGAGGAAGTTATCTGAATTGATTCCTCACCTAAACACTGTCGTTTTAATTCAATATTTGTTCATTTGCTTGTGAAATGTGTTTTTACCATTGATTTTTCGTGTGTAGCATGTTACACATTTCTCCGTTATGTCAATGATTTATTTGGTTGATTTCAATTTTTAAAGGGTGATATTTTGAAGACGAAGACACGTGTTTTTGTGATCTATATAACCTGCCTCTTGGTTATAATGTCTTCTTACTACGTCCATATAACGTATTGTCCACCATATGGTAAGTTATTCAGAACGTGCTTAGTTTTTTTTCATTGATCAACATTAATTCCCTCCGTTTTTATTTTACTCTTAATACAAATATGTTACTCGTCAGGATTGTATGTCTATATTATGGTATTATTTCGATTCATAAAAAAGACAGATAACTGTAAATAATCATGGAAAATTCCCATTGTAACATATAGAAAATCAAAACAAATGATTCAGCGAAGAGACTCTTTTCAACGAATTTATCATCAAGCTGTACAATCGTATATATATATATATATGGTTTTTAAGAAGTTATATCCGGTGAGGGAATTGAAACATAGGTGTGAATGCATGAAATAATAATAATATGAAGTGCAATTAAAACTAAAATGTTTGTGATTATAATCGTAGTTAAATGTCAAGTGGCAAAGCAAATTAATGTCATATATAGAATGATTCATAGGATGGATAGAACTTGAAAAAGGTGTGCAATTATAAGATTAGTAGACAAATCGAAAAAATAAAAACGTTACGCAATATTGTGTGAAATTTAATGGCATGGAATTTAATGTTGGATTAAAGGAATTGATTTAGAATGACAAGTGGAACAAGTGAAATAATACCGGGGACAATTAAAAGTGAGAGTAGTAATAGTAACAATTGACTTAATAAGGAAGAGTATATAAATTGAATAGACAAAAATGAAAAAATGAAGAGTTGGTAGAGCTAAAATATGATTGGGGATTACCATACTTTAGCATAGAGGGATTAAGACCATGAAAGTTGGAGGGGTTGAACGAACTTTTTCTGTACACAGAGATCTGGCTTTTCTGTTTCGATAGCCAAAGCTTCAGCAATACAGATGAGTCGGGTACGTAAGGATTTGCGTAGATTACTCTTTGCCTTGTAGATGACTTTAAAGGTGGACGCTATAGAGATAGGGTGATCATTATCGACCAGATGTTCAATGATCGCGCTTCTTATTGCTCCACTTCCACTTTTTCGTAACCATGCAGGATAGTGTTCTTGCACCCTCTTGGACAAAACTCGTGTCGAACGACCGATATACCTAGCTCCACACGAGCAGGTGAATTGATAAACACACATAGAGTTGGTCAACAGCGGGATCTTGTCCTTCAGGTTATTGAACAATAATGGTCGACTAGAAAAGGCTATTCTCAGGGATGCAGCAGGGAATGTTCTTTTCAGGGATTGTGATATCCTCCGTTTCATGATATCGGAAGCTAAATCCCCTTTGAATTCCAAGCTCATGTAAAGTATCTTCTTGGGTGCGGTTGATAACTCACGTTTTTTAGGATTTGAATGGATATTCTTATCTATAAAACGTGGTGGAAATCCATTTTCTATTAGGATTTTCCTCAAGATGTATAACTCATCTTCCACAGTATCAGGGTTACATATGCGCCAAATACGAGTGGCAAGCGACCGGATCAGGTTTCGTTTTCGACCAATGGGTACCCAGCTGTAGAAATTTGTCAGTTGACCATTCCATGACAGCTTGCGATAAATCGATCTTTTCAGGGTTCCATCGGTCCTTCTTGATAAGTTCACATCGAGGAAATGCATGCTAGACTCGTTCTCCATTTCGAGTGTGAATTTTATCGCCGGATGGCAACCATTAAATACATCTAATATATTATTTAAGTTACAATCACTATTACAAATAATAAAGGTGTCATCTACATACCTTTTATACATTTGAAAGCTTTGGATTATAGGCTTCAGCTGATCATTTTCTCGACTGGACATAAAACAGTCTGCAAGGAGAGGACCCAAGGGAGAACCCATTGCAATACCATCCTTCTGTCTGTAGATTGCTTCATTGAAAGTGAACTGTACATTCAATGTACATCTCAGAAGTAATTCTTTCAGATCTGTAGTGGGTATACCTATATTCAATTTGTTGTCTTCTATATATTTGCATATAAAACATATAGTTTCTGTCAGTGAAACGTTCGTAAATAGGGATTCTACGTCCAAAGACAACATAAATAATGTTACTTGTGTTTGTCCACTGCATTCGCGACATCTTTCCACCAACCTTTGAGCTTAGAACTGTAGGTTCAAATATTTACTACTTCAAACCTTCTTATTATATAATTCCTTTTAACCTACGATTGATGCTAAACCTTAGTTTCTTCACACACAATCATTACACGTCTTTCGACGTTTTAAAAGTATGCTTTTATTCCTACGGCCAGTTCTGTTGCAGTAAAAAAAGTAGTGTATGACTGACTTCTGATGATGGCTTGTTTTATACAACGAGTAAAACAGTATCCAAGCACTTCACAGTAAATCAAAATGGATAGTTCTCGTCTTAAAGTTTGATGAGAAAACTTATCAAGTGATTGTAGTTAAAGCAGTTTCGTTGACACTGAAGAATTCAACTACGAAATCGTTCGAATTCGATGGATATTTCCCAATATTATATTACACATATACATATACTACATTTCTTAAATTGCTCTTTTTAACCTATCCTCTTTTCAGCTTATACTGTATTCGCAGCATTTGAATATGTTGCTATTTTCGCCAATGTTGCCTATCACTATACAGCTGCACGTATTTATGAAGATATGCCAATTAGTGAAATGATTAATTACTTTTCTACTGGTCGAACTGTCCCGTTGATAAACATGAAACCGAGCCTACCATTGTACAAATAAATCACCAATAAATGCCTTTTTATAACAAGTCTGGTGTTTGAATGAACAGAAGTGTACTTGGGTGGATTTGTTTCTGAGTCTGGGAAATCTCTGTGTACGTAGCCCTGTTGTTAATTGTATCGCGTTATAATTAAAGTATTGGTCTGCAGGGATTTGATTGGTTACAGGTTTTGCCATGAGCTTACATCACTTAGAGAACCATTCGAAAACCAGAGAGTAATGGACAGTTGTTTTTTCCCAGTCTGGGATACTTCAACGGTACGCGCCCACCAATGTTCTAACCTAGGGCCTTCCGATTACAAGGCGAGACCGTAGACCATTCAGCCACTGAAACCCAATCTAGAGTGGTCCGCATAGTCAGGCAACAGAACAGCTACTCGCAATGACATTGGCCGATAATTACGCTAGATATTGAGGACTAGCAGAAGTTGGAATTCATGGGCTATTGAATCCGGTCTCGGTGGCTGAATCGTCGACGAGCTCGCCGTATAACCATTTGGCTCTGTGTTCGAACTTCAGTGTGTGTGAGTGTGTGCTGTTGAACAGTTCCAAGCTAGGACGAAACGGCTGTTCAGTACTCTCTGGTTTACCAATAGTTCTCTAACTGGTGAAAGCTGTTTACTCATTCTTGAGAAAATACTACTGCTCTGTCAGTATATTTGATTGATGATGAGTAAAACTTAACAAGTGTTTGACATTTTTTCCAAAAACAGCATAAATGAGGGGGGAACCAACGGAGAAATGATTGAAGTATAACAGTAATAATTAATTAGTGGTAATTAAAGACCAGGTAAGGATATGCAGGGATTCATTTAAATCGTAGGCTTGAGAATGTATATATTTTGCAGCACACTCCTAATTGCGTTTTTTATTCATTTACGTTCCAAGCGGAACACAGGGTTTCAAGCTAGAGTCTTGAAGTTTCGGTAGCAGTGATGTTTTTTTTATGGGATGGAGTTGCTAGCCCATGCCCAACCCTCCCTCTTTACCAGCCTTATTACTAGCTTAGCGGGGTAAAGGAGTACGTCAGCCGGGGATCGAACCCTGGATCACATGTGTGGTTGGCGAGCATTCTACAGCTGTGCCATCGACACACCCTAATTACATATAAACGTAACTCTTTCATGTAATGAAATAAAATATAACAGTAGCTTCTGGGATGTTTCAAAACTTGAGATGTTAACTTCACATACTAAAAAGATTTTCCAGGGAATTTCACCTGTACGAATCTACAGTCTTTTCTTATTTACTTGTTTCTAAGTTTATGGAGGTGAAAAACATTATGTGAATTTACACAGGGAATATTCAATTTACGCACAGAAAGTTGTAAAAGCAACACATTAACTACCTATAAACATACAGTTATAGACAGCAGTTAAAGTAGTGACGTAAAGAAAAATCCAGGCAGTTTTGTGTTACATCAAATATGGTTATTATCGAGTGGAAGGGAAAACGGCAAAGCGTTATTCACTTAACTTGTATTATCCCTTAAAGGAATCATTATAAATTGATATAAAGGCTTTTGTACATGATTTGTGAAGGGGAGGGGTTTACAATGGGTATGTTAAACTTTTTACACTAGCTAGTATTGTAACACAATTACTTCCACACATCTGTACGATAACGTCCTTGTTTTCGCAAATTCAAAACATAACAGGTTGCAGCTTCAATTGTAGTTTGGGAATGCTTTGCTACTAATTCAATTAAACATGAATGAACATCACGAGCCATACAAGAGGCATTTCTAAAAAGTGGTATTTATTAAGAAGGCAAAAAGAGGATTAGATAAGATCAGTAAATACTTTTTTAAATTATAACTCTAATCAGCATAGAATAATAGTAAATGTCATGATTTATGAATGCGCATAACTGAAAAGCTATAAAATAACATGAATGGGGAAGGGGAAATCAAACCTTGAATGCGAGTGATTAAAGCACTAATTTTGAATATTCCGCTCATTTCTCTCGTATGAAGTGTTTGTTTAGATTAGTATTTTTTGGCTGTGTCACAGCACTACATTATGTATTGACCAATAATCTCGTTATGACGATTTTATTTGCACATCACAATGGACCAACAGTCTAGTTATGAATATTAATTATTATTCCTTAAGGTTCCAAATGGGACGTACAGCTTCACCCGCACATCTCCATTTCATGTTGTTTTCTGCGGTCCTTTGCAACTGGCTCCACGACTGCCCATAGATTCGCATCTCCTCCTCACATGATCTCTTCCATGTCATCCTCGGACCAAAGCTAAACTCGTCGTTTCCCATTCGGTTCACTTGCGGGCTGGCCTGGCGCGCGATGTCACTCAACGGTCTCGTCAACGTGTGCCTAATCCATATCCATTTCCCCAGGCATCTTGAGCGGCAGGTTCTTGGCAGCTTTGTTGCCAGCGTTTCTTGTTGCTAATCCTCCCTGACGTTCATTAGTATGGAGCGAAGGTAGCTGTTGATGGAAGTCTGAAGCCTGTTCTATTTAGTATTGGTATATGGCCTTTCAAACTCTTGAGCATCACGTACTAGCCTTCTTAATCGGAGGTCTATTTTAATGCGTATGTAAGTACTACGCAGAAGTTGGTTCCATCTTACTTTACAGCTGTGTGAAGTAACCACTGATAATGTATGTGACGAGACAGAAGGTTTCTTCGCTTCGATAAATTGGTACAACATGACAAGTGGTATAAAAACGTGAAAATTGGACAATGGAGATATGCAACTGCAATTTATGAACACTATTTGACGAAATATGAGAAAAGATAGTCTACATCAAACGCGTAAGTGTAATTAACTGCTGTGTCCAATAACCTGAGTTTAAACACCGATGTACTTAAACCTGGATATTTTATTAACACAATAAGTTGTCATAAATTAATTGTTGTAACGTTGTAGCTTTACTTGCATTACACATATCAAAAATTTGCAAAAACAACGTTACTACTATCGTTCGGTTTATGCTGGTGATAGGTATTCACATGAATGTACATATGCATACAGTGACTAACGACATGACTTCAGATTTCTTTTTTTTCGCTGTAACAGAAGGACTACAAGGATGAATGAGTTTCATGCCAATTAAGTTCCGTCGATAAGGCTAATCAACACAATGAGGACGGCTTTGCAGAGTAAGATTTTACAGAGATTTTCTCAGCTGTGTACTGGCCGAATACTAGTGCTATAACTTGTCACTAGATAAATCAGAACTTCGTAAGGTGGTGAAGGAATTTTACAACTACTTCGAATTGTTGGAGTTGTCGCCATTCGAATAACAAGACTCGAATTATTTGTCCAGAAAGAGGCGATTAATAATCTAAGCAGTGATCCCTTCGTTTTTTCTCCATTGTATTTTCACACTTATCAGCTTTTTATCAATGTCTCTGTAGTCATTTATTTGGTTCAATTTGTTTGCTTGACCTCCTCCGATGATTACCTAACTGATGCTCACGTTTAGTTTCACTGTTCAACTCAAGAATATTCCCCTCCTTCCAATATAATGCCTTTACTCTGATTGTAATCTTATTATTCTACACATTGAGAATAAAATAGCCATTCATAAATAATGATAAATTACTTACCCACAAACATAAAGATAGGCATGATATTCATCTAAAAGTTGCCACACTTTATGACCCATCTCTAGAAGTTTATGCTGAACATACACCTTGGTGCCATCGACAGAGTCACGCGAAAAAGCCGTGTGCATTTCAAGTAGGCCAGTATCACAAGCTTGTTTTAATTCAGCTGAGTAAATAAAATCTTCATTTTCATGACGACAACCGAAAAACAACAACATTTGTCCATTTACACCACCTTTAACGAGAATAAATAAATAAGGTCTTTGAATGCCACTTAGTTCGATATGTTAAGCATATAAATTATTGAAGGTTGAAGTAAGCGTATCTGAATGTCTGGTGCTAGCGATCGAACTGGCGGACATGTAGGTCTACTTAGGGGAGCTGGAAAACCTTGATTCCAAAAGTATAGTGTACACTGGCTCCAGAATCCGAACCAGTCGAATGGCGTATAAACCTGGTTTGGTCACCGGAAACTATGCGAATGTAGCTTCTGACACTACTTCGCTGTCTAATGGAAAAGACTTCAAGTTGAAGATTCGGAGGGTATTCCCCGTGACACAAACACCTACTTCGGTCTGGGTGTCCAGGATATATACCAGCCCTCGCACAAAATATGAGGTTTTGTATGACGCATCTCTTGGTGCCCATACTATAACAAGTTTATCTTAATATATAAGCTAAAATTATGCTGACAGGTTACAAAGCCAGTTAATTCCATTGATTTAGAATGATTGATCGCACTAGGGTTTGTAGATAACAGTTACATCCATCGCATTGTTAAAAACACTGATACATTTAAGGGCATTCTATTCACCAACATCTCATTTTCACCTAATTGACCGAAAGACCATGAGAGAACATATCAAAATTTAGCGGGATTTACTCCACTCCGTTAAATGAAGAATATTCATCGTAATTGTCTTTTTAATTTTTACGGGAAACTCGATCCGAAGTCCTGTTTAGAAGTCGAAAAAATAATGATTAATTGAGAATTGATTATATTTTTCATACAGTTTATGAAACAATACCCGACTAGGCGAAATTAAGTGACCTGATTTGTTCTATATCCGTTGCTGAATTTCACCCTTAAACTATATCTTAACTAATCTGAAGTCGATGCATTTTGCATAGAATATTTAATTGAAATGCTTACAAAGTAAAAAAAGTGTAATATGTATATTTTCAACAGTTAGTTTGTAGGGATTCCGGTCTGTTTCAAATTTGATCACGGATTGTTATCAGTTAGAGAACCATTGAAAACCAGCAGAAAGTACTGGACAGCCGTTTCATCGTAGTTTGGGACTCGTCATCAGTGAGCACCTACAAGGGATCGAACCCGGAACCTTAACGTTACAATGCTAAGCTCGTCCACCAATCAACCACTTGAAGTCGATTTCAATGACTTTTGAATTCTATTTGTTGAAGAGTCCCAGACTAAGATGAAACAGCTTTCCAGTACTCACTAGCTGTCGATCGTCCTCTAAATGACATCAATTCGTGTTCAGACCTGTAATATTTATTATTGTAGTTTATCTTTTTTTTAATAAAATGACCAACTTAATAGAAGTGGACAGCTTTAGAAAAATAATCAAAAGGCAAGTTACCTTTATCGTCAGCTAGTTTTAAACGTTCTTGTATGAATGCACGGAATGGAGCTAATCCAGTACCAGCAGCTATCATAATTATTGGTAGTGCACGACTTCGAGGTAAATAGAATTTACTTGAGTGAATGGTAACAGGTATAGAGATATTCAGTGTATCCTGATAACTTTCTAATTGGAGTGAATTCAACCAATTTGTAGCAAGACCTTTGAATTGACGACCTTGAAAGTAGAAATTTATATTTCCAGATCAGAAATATAATGATTAATTTTTCATAGGAGCGAAAATAAACAAACGCCTTTTGTTAATTAATAAAATGTTGAATAACCAAGAACAGCTAGAGAGATACTATGCAGCCACATTTTTATGCCCATTCATAAACTTGAACGAAGCAAGAAGGACAACTTACATCCCTTCAGACATATGTTAAAGAACTATTGGGAAACCAGGGAATACTGAATAGTCGTTTCGTCCCAGTATGTAACTCTTCAGCGGCAGGTACACAGCAAGAGCCGAACCTAGGACCTTTTGGTTATAAGGCAAGCTCGTAGACCATTCAGCCATTGGGATCTGACCCAGTGACCTGTGAATTCCCACATCTGCCAACCCGCGATGCACATCCTCCAGCCATTGTCATAAGCGAGTAACTGTCCTCTCAGCCTGACTTCATGATCTACGGGGCTTGATTTGTAACTGAAAAGTTTTAGGTTCCGACCCCAATGGACACGCACTGGTGAAGAGCCTCAAATTAGGACGAAACGGCTGTCCAATGATCCCTGGTTTTCCAGTGGTTCTCGAACTGATGTCAGCTTGTGACCAAACCTGTCATCAATCAAATCCCTGGCAAACAAACACGTGGTACTTATAGTTTCTATGAGATGCTCATTGTCATCGTGAAAAAGGATGCCCAAATCTTTTATGTAATTTATTTTTTGTTTTTCATTGTTCAAGTTGCAGTTAGCTGTGAGGAAGAGGCAGAATAACAAAAAGTGAGCTCACGCTATCCAAGTACATTCGTCGTTCTTGTTTAGTTTAAGTTTACTAATGAGAAGAATTGTATAAGGCCTGGTAATAAGTTAAAAGGTAGTAATTCATTGTATTCATGAACATATAAATGCTAAACAGTGCCAATTGTGAAAAAACTAACAAATTGATTTATTATAATTATGAAGTGAGAATTACACCTCGTCGGTGCCTCAGTGGTAGAATGCTCACGAAATCTACGCATGTGGTCTAGGGTTCGATTCCTGGTCAACACACTCCTAAACCTCGTTCAGTAGACAGTAAGTACGAGAAAGAGGGAAGGTTGGGCGTGAGGCTAGCAACCTTACCCAGTAAAAATAAAACCACTGCTATTGAAACTTCAAGCCCTATGTTCCACTCCGAACGCAAAGGAATAAAAAAAAATCCTGTTGATTGTTTACATTGGACATCCTAAACTCCACTGTTAGGTGACCATCAACTAAATATCAAATAATCTATATTTCACAAAATGGTTAGTATTTAAACATTGATATAATACAGTAAAACAAACAACTTGAACGAAACTTTCAATTATACACACGAGAGTTTAGAGGGATTTACACATCCACAGAACTATCAACTTGTAAAGGTGTATTATCTGCTTAAAATGGTAAAATTTTCCTACAGGTCAGAAGTGTAGAAAGGACATAGGATAATATGGAACCTTGTGCCGTCACAGTATCCTTCATATGTTGAAGATCATACGGCCGGTCAGGAAAGATTAGCAACAAGGGACTCTGGCAACAAGCCAACAAAGAACCTATTGGCCAATAAATATGCCAGAGGCAATGGAGATGTTGAGGAAACCGTTGAGTGACATCGCTCACCAGGCCAGCCCGCAAGTGGAACATGAATGGGAAACGAATTGAGCGTTCGAGAGTGATATGGAGGAGATCATGTGAAGAGTAGATGACAGCCTATGGGCAATTGTAAAGCCATCTGCAGAGAACAGGTTGAAATGGGGATGTGTTGCTGAAGTCACATGTCCTACTTGTACCCAATGGAATAATAATATGATGTTCTGTCTAACAAGACATATTAGGCAAGCGAGATGCATGACACTATTATCAAGCTGGAAACAACAGATGCACAGATATAAGAAAACATAGACGTAAAAGTCACTTGAATGCACCATAGGTTCATGAAGACGATGAAATGACCAATTCGAAAAAATATATATCTCCACTCGATTATCCTTGCAAATTTACTAGGTAATTGCGTAGTGAGTAGCTGCAAAAGATAGATAATAAATGATCACTACATACCTGAATTCGTTTGATAATTAACCACAGAAGCCGTTATATGTATTCGTTTCGGATACACTAATGCAGAGGAGGAGATACTGTACAGTCTTGGCTTTAGAGGATTTAATAACTCCAGCAAGAGATCAACTGGTGGTCGAAATGATGTAAGATCTTTTAATACATCAACAAGACCACGATGATCTTCTAAAATCCACTTTGAGTATAGTTCCTTAAAATGAGTAAAACAATCATAGGAAGATATTCAATGGTAGTATATAATTATACTGGACTAAGAAACATCTACAAGTATATGCAAGGCATTGTAAAGAACCGTTGTAGGAGCCTGAGCAATTAAGGATGATCCCTATAAACTACCTGATACGGCTGAGGGTGGGTAAACTTGGCCTTTCTTCTCGAAGTGCTCTTATGTTGCTATGCGCGCTCATAGTCTCCCTCTGCAATGTGAGTCTTAATCAGTACCTTCACGTGATGGGGGTGTTCTTCGCAAAAATGAAAGGGCGAATGCAAACGCTTAGCACATACAACCGAACTAGTGAACATGTGGGTTTACCTAGGAGAGAGACAGAAAGAGAGATGGCAAAACCTGATCCAAAACCCATAGTGTACATGGACTCCAAAATCTGATTGATTCGTTTGAATGGTGTATGAACTTGTTTCGGGTCCCTGAAAATGTGGCTCCGCTGCTTACAGGGTCAGACTTCAAGTTCCAGACTCAGGGAGTAGTCCCTAAGGACAACCGCTTACCTCGGTCTGGCCGTACGGTCAGCGACCTAGTCCTCGCACAATCTATGAGGTTTTGTGTGACGCATCTCTTGGTATCCATAATGTCCCATGTTTGTGTTTTAATACATACTATGACTGACTTGTTTCAACGTAAAATTTTGCACAGATGTGCAGCAGTTCGAGTTGCCACACTCCCTCCATGTAGCACAGAAAGCAAAAGAAGAGAGTATAGAGAGGTACTAAACAGAAATATGAGGCAAAAAGAATAGTAATATCGAAGAACAATATAGATTTATTGGACATTATAAGTCACAAGGAGTGAATGCATCTGCTCCAGACATTGAGAACGAGGATTTTGAGCCATATCACCAATCGTCTCCAGCCATTGGTTTTTACTGTCCCGAGGACCCCAACCAGTCAGGAAGTCTACACCTTCCTACGTGGTTGGCTGGCTTAAACTAACTGTTGTGGATTTCACTAACTGATGAAGCCATGTTTTGGTGTGACCACCACTAGCTCTTTTCCAATCTGATCCTATGTCAGTCAGCTAATATTGCCCGTCGAGGAAGGCAATGGCTAGGCATGCGTAACACATGCCCTAACTATCGCAATCGGTGTAACTTCACAACCTCATCGACTGATTTCTTCTCCTAACCTCAATATTGTTCACCCTATTATGCCACATAACATAGGCAACAGAACGCAGGCACCTATGATCAAAGACAGCTAGTCTTTTCATGTCTTCCACCTTCAATCGCTTGTCTCACAGTCATAAAGGAGGACAGAGCCAACTACCAAATAGTACACACGCTCTTTGGTCGACAGCCGGATATCACGTAAGTTGACATATGCCAAACTAGCATCCTTTATCCGTGCTAAGATTTCGTCAGCAATCAACCCGTCTGCGTAGGCTGATGCAAATTCCCAAATAAGTGAAGCGGTCAACAAGCTTTACCAACTCACTCACTCCTTATCTTTAAGCTAGGAGTCAGTGTAGTCCAGAATATATTATACGTTACCACAAATCATATATCAGTAGAACTTATTATTTAGGTGTGATTTTAACACAAGACGGATGGTTTACATAGGTATTACACTTTTTTTTTAAATCAAGGCGATTAATCATTAAACAATATGGTGAATCTAACATCTGTTCAAAACATTTCTATTTAGACAGATTAATTACAATGTAAGCAATTTCAAGTTGCATACGCATACATATTTATTTTTTTCCAAAACCTATTTGTTGCAGCGTCGTCATTAAGAAACGTGATAAAAAAAATGAAAGTTAAAGTATAAAGAGGTTTGAACACAGCAAGAAGAAGGATACATTGAGTACGATAAAATGACGTCATTATTATTTCTTATTGATTATATATGAATACGATTTTAATCGTCTCAGTGATACGTAGCAACCTGAAGCTGTCTTGAAACTTATTTACTTTAAAGGATTTCAACGTCTCAATTTCACGATTGTTTTCTAACAAGTGGCGAGCATTTACACTACTAAGGGACTTTGGCATCCATCAGACACAATTTTCTTGGAATGTGCTTAGATATGCTGTCACAAATCTTTTCTGGTTACAAGATTTCATCATGATGAGCTGACATCGGTTTGAGAACCATTGGAAAACCAGATGGGAGTTCTGGACAGCTGTTCCGTCCTAGTTTGGGGCTCTTCATCAGCGCGCACCCATCTCCAGAGTTTGAACCCAGGACCTTCTGGTTACAAGGCTAGCTAGCTCGTAGACCATTCAGCCACTGGGACCCGATCCAGTGGCCCATTAATTCTAACTCACCGAAGAAGATATTGGCTAGTGGTCGCGCTGTGTTGTGAATCGGCGGAATCTGGAGTTCATGTGCCATTAGATCGGGTCCCAGTGGTTTAATGGTCTACGAGTTCGCCTTGTGACCAGTAGGTCCTGGGTTCGAACTCTGGAGGTGGGTGCGTGCCGATGAAGAGTTCGAAACTAGGACGAAACAGCTATCCAGTACTCCCAGCTGGTTTTCCAATGGTTCTCTAACCAATGTCAGCTCATGATGAAATCCTGCAACTAATCAATCAAATCCCAACAAACCAAAACTTGAATAACAATTTTTTTTGTTTGTCCCATGTATATGCTTTGGCACGTGTAGATGTAAATTAGTGTAAGCAGTTGGCGGCAAAATGAAAGGTGAACTTATTAAGTTTAGATTGTCTTAATGAGCATTTAATTAGGTAGATTGTGAATAACCTAACAGCTAGATAAGTTCGCTTTCGAGAGCAGCATTTATCCTATATTTAAGAAAGACTACGTACTTCTCAACTGTTACAAATTTTGCTTTTATATTTGATATTCTCTTGTGTTGAGGATATCCGTTACCTCATAAACACTTTTCAATGATGACAAGTTCATCATTAAGTCGTTCTTTCGAAAAAGATTTTCCAATGCGATAGAACAATGTCCTGGACAAAACTATTGAAATCCACACTCCAAAAAATGAAAATTTCCATTCTGTTCACATTCTATAGTGAAATCTATATTCATCATATGTGACTTGTTAAATATGTCATGTAAACGAGAGGCATTTTTAACATCATTGCACACAATAGATATGTCATCACTGTATCTCTTGTAAAATGTCACATCATCTATCGCGTGTTTCAAGTTTGTCTATTCAAGGTACCCTATAAAAATATCGACTGAGATGGGACCTGATGGAATGCTCATTGCAAATCCACCACTGGAAGATATATGACTGATGAGTAAATAAACTACGACGAATAAATCAAGCAAAACGATAGGCGCGAATTTTTTCACAGGTTAAATCCAGATAAATAAGGGCGAAGGGGTATGGGAGATTCAAATTAAGAAGATGACGGGTAACAGTTCAGTTGTATCACTTAAATCAACAATAAGTTACTAGAGAAAGAACTTCAAAACGTCAGGAGTTGCAAGATGAATAATAATAATAATGATAACGAAATGAGTTAAGATAATGGTGCTGGCAGAAAACAGTGTTAAATGAGTCAAGAATAATAAAAAAGAAGATGGAATAAAATAATAATCATAATAACAGTTATTAAGCAAAGGAATCAAAGTGACCATCATTTCTTTCTGTACTCCAAGTTTTATGTCAGTCTCTGTATCTTTATTTTATACGTTTAATTATCACGATTTGACAGAGGTTAGAATTCACGGGTCAATGAATAACCATCCCAAGTGGCTGAATGGTCAACGACCTTGGACCTGGTAACCTGAAGGTCCCGGGTTCGACCCCTGCTAAAGAGTCCCAAACTAGGACGAAGCAACTGTCTAGTCATTCCCTGGTTCTTAATAGTTCTCCAAATATTATCAGTGTGTGACCAAACTGGTAATTACCTCTACATTTTATGTAGGTCAAAAGAAAAGAGCTTGACGAGGACTAGTTAGTGTGGAAGTGTTTAAAATACTGAGGATAATGACAATGAAAGAAACTATCTACACCAATGTGAGCGATTTCAGAGTCATCAAAGCCAAGAATCTCCTCCAACCACTGATGTGTTTAGCATTCTGAAGATACCAACCAGATTCCAAGCTAATTAATTCTATACTGTTTATAATCATATTTTTAAAGTTACTGAAAATCATTTGAAGTGGGGAAAAAATCGATAAAATCATTGTATCATCAACACTAACTGATAGATGATGATATACGACATATTAGCTGGACTTTTAAATACATTGAGATAAGGTGTATCGAAATTCTAGTTCAATAATAAACCTCATGTATTTGAATAGTCTAGCAATACGCCTTATACCATCACAGCTTCTTCATAAAGTTGTTGTTTTTTTTTGTTTTATCAGCTACACAACAAGTGAGTCAATCACTGTTCATTTATTCCGAATGACTAAAGTCAAACAAAATATAATTATAACTAAATTTGAAGGACATTAAAATTTTAAGTCGATAATTTGTAAACCACTAACTATGCTGGTAAGGCAGCATGAGCACTTTGTACCAAAATCCTCTTCTGTCAATAACCAATGACTGGGAATGAATTATTATCATTATTTGTCCCTAGGGCTTCACAGCAACACATCTCCATTTTATTCTGTTTTCTACAGGGTTTTTTTTCCAGCTAACTCCAGGATTACCATCAATAAGCTTTTACTCTCTCCTCACACGACCTCCTCTATGCTAACTTCGAATGCCCAGTCTTCCTCCATATTGGTCCCACTGGAGGTCCTGGCAGGTGACATCACCCAATATACCACAAGTTAAGTATTTGTAAAGTTACTTTACTAGTTTTATAACTTACAAACGAAATTATATACAACACGAACATGCAGATTTAAGAGAATTAACGAAATATCATCACAGTATCTATCAGTAGTCTCAGACAGAATTGGATGATCCAATTATTGAGGTGATGAAGCCAGTCTCTGAGATAAAAAGATATACCACAGGTAAGTAAATAAAAGGTTAGGATAAAAATGTTGGCTACGGTGCGAAAAGTGGATCAGCGGTTCAGTAGTAAAATGCCTGCCACCTCCGCGCACATGGTCAGGATTCGATTACCGGCTGACGAATTCTTAAACCTCACTTACCCGACAACAAGTTCAGTTAAGAGAGAAGCTTAGGTGAGAGGCTAACTAGAAACCCCATCCTGTAAAACAAAGCACCCCTACTGAAACTTCAAGACTGAAGCTTGAAGCCTTATATTCCACTCAGAACGCAAAGGAGTGGGTAGGGGGGGGGGAATGGTGCCAAAATGATTCTAGTGGCTGTTCAACAAAAATATACAAGTGTTAATTTGTATGGATTTGATTCGTTTCAAGTTTGACCGCAGATTGATATCAGTTAGAGAACCACTGAAAACGAGGAAGTACTGGACAGCTATTTCGTCCTTGTTTGGGACCCTTCAACAGTACGCACGCACAGGGGTTTCCAGAGATTTTGCAATGAACTTGTAAAAAAGGTGGGAGATTTAAACTGATAAAACACATACCTTTCCTTTTTCACTTTTTGAAATAAGAAGTTGAACAAATTCTAATTCATCAGGGTCAGTTATTGTATTTATGCAAGCAGAAAATAAATTCCTCCCAGGAGGTCCAGTTATATCCACAAAATACGTGAATGCATGACGGTAGGTACATGGACACGGAAAAGGATGTCTTATTAAACTGAAAGCTGATCAAAACAAAAGCAATAAATAGCATACAACAGTTAAGAGTAGCAGAGCGAAATTAAAATCAAAATCTGCTATAAGAGATAAATGTGGTTACAAACTACTCATATAGGTAACTACTACTTTGACTGAATACAATGCGACCACTATATCATGCCAATTCAAATGTAAACATCCGGTAACCTTCAGATCAATACAGCTTCGATTGCCACTACTGTATGCCAAAGTTGTACGCGAAGATAATGAGAAAGATAGGGTGCAATAAGAAAAACAACCTTTACACTTCTGGATGCCTTAAATTGATGACCAGAATGCATGAAGCAAGTTTCCACAGGGGTGAGCATCACTTTATGCGGTTATTTGTCTGGTGGGAAGTGAAGTGAAACGACGGTGAATTTGCCTGATCCTATGCTCAATGTAACTAGCTGCACAGAAGTCCAAGCGGTAAATACACACACACACACACAAGCTGAAACTAAAAGAAATCACTGGTACCTGGTTACTGATTTTTACCAAAGTTGTTGAGTACACTCGGTGTTAAATAAAGTTATCAGTCCTATAGGAACTATGTCACCGACATTATAGTTTTACGGAATGTAAAGTAGTCCTCATAAGTTAATTTCAAATCTTATGCGTTGCTTAATGATCAATCCTCATTACGAAAGCAACAATTGTGTCTCTTAATTGTCATGTCAGATCGTTTATTATACACTTGAGATATTTTTGTATAAGACAAATATACCATACAGTAATACACTTTGTCTCGCTCTACATGTGTGAAACACGGTTACTGATTTATGCTCGTAGAAGTTGGAAGTATTAGATCATATTTATCACTAGCTTGTGACAAGGTTACAGAATGTATTAAAGACAAGAAAGGTAATCCAATCATCATCAAGATTACCAGCCGTCACTAACTGAGATTGGATAGAGTATATGCTACAAATAATCAGCCGCAACCTATCCACATATGCATTACTGGCGATTATAAGAGTGTGATAGACAAGAAAATAAGACATTAAATGCTTCAGTTACCAAAGCCCTTTTGTGGTGAGAGCTAGCTGCTAGCCAAAGTTGGTAGACAGTAATTGACGTCAATGTTTATGTCTCCAATGTTAGTGGTGAGAAAATGAGAACAAATGCTTTGCGTAGGCAGATACAGACAGCAAATGGATGATCTGACACAGCCACAAAAGAGAAACAACCAATCAAAAGACTGTATTTTCTACTAACAAAAATCTACAATAATGTACATTAAAATCTATAAATATTTGTTGATTTTCCTTAATAAACGACCTGTTGCCTGGCCTTTGTCTTCTGTTGTTACACTTTAACCTCAACTGTGGTGGCTTACCAAACCGGAAATCGAACAGTGTAATTAACTTTACGAAAGCTGTATCACTGTGTGTTATATAAAATAAACTTACCCGATATAGAATTGCATTGTCTCGCCGTGGTCAAATACTACACTTAAGAAATTAGGCAATTAGTCTTTAATTTTGTGAACCGAGTCTTAGTTGACTTAGTAGTCTTAGCAGAATAAATAGTATAATCTAGCTGCGTTAAAAGTCCATCTGGATTGTCTCTAAAGCAGCTCTGATGTATACTTTTACTTATTCCAAAAGAAGATACAGTCATTCTGTTTTTCTTTTTCTTCTTTAGTAAAATTTACAGTTGGGTGATCTTTTTTAAATTTTTCCAATATCCACTGCGCATCATCTTTCCTCAGAATTACAAACATATCATCCATACAACAACTATAGAGCCTAGATTACTTATCACATCTTTCAGATAGGTCATTCTCTAGTCTTACTAGTATTGGATACAGTGATGATCTTAAAGCAGCGCTGTCTGATCACCCATACATCTCTTTATCAGACATAAATTGTGCGGCTGTCTGAAATCTTGCACGAAGCTCCTTGAATGACGAAACAGCAATACCAGTATCTACACCATTTCTCAGTTTACTACATATATAATATATTGTACAAAGAAGACCCATTCAAGGATATCATCAAATTATTATTCACCTTTAATTCTCTGATATCCTCTAAAAGGATGCAACAAGTAGACAAATCTAACTCCTCTTAGTGGCTACTACTGTGGTGAGAGCTATCTGCAAGCCAAAATTGTACACAACAATTTACGTCAATATTTACGTCCCGAATCGGGGTCATGAAAAAAACAGTAACAAAGCTTAACCTTGAGGAACTCAACAACCAATCACAGCTGTCTTAACGTGTGCAAATACGATTCGCAGACACATGGCTTAACTTTCTAAGAAACGGTCGCAAGCAGTACAAGTACAGCATAACCTTCAGAAAGAAAACAACCAATCAGAAGACGTTGCTTTTCCGCTGACAATAATGTAAATAAAAATCTATAAATATCTCTTGATTTTCCCAACAAATGATTTGTTGCCTAGCCCTTGTCTTTTGTCCTTACACTACTACACGCAGAATGTTAAAATTTTAATGAAACATTTACTAAAAGGTAGTATTCACAGAACTTACGATCAACTGCATCCAAACTAATCATCACATCCAAATCAATATCTAGAAGATCACCAATTGCGTTAACAAGATCTGGTGGATTTGGAGCGAATAATGCAACATGATCACCTGTTTTGTAACTAATTAGTGTGAGAATAGATGAATATTTAAAAAAAATAATTAGTAAAGTAAACAATTGTAAAAAGATGTATGTTTTAACATTCAGACTTATAGATCTCAATAAAATCCTTTGTATCTTTAAAAATGTCGATATGTACTTCATAACTACTTACAAACTCTTAAGATATTAAAGTAATTTAGTCTTGTGATGAATGAATGAATGAACAAGTGCAATTCCACCACTAACTAACTAGTTATATGCAGGGACTAGGAATCAAACACATTATAGCTGAACTAATAACGCCAATTAGCTGTGTTATTATACTCATCTTAGATGATTGGTGGCAATCGGCATAAAGCCTTGGACCTAGATTTTTTGCTTTTCGGCATTCCTCAGTAAGCTGTGACTGTAATCTTGAAGGAACTAATGTCCCTTCTGAGGTCCGAACCTGTGTGATACCAGTGCTATTCAGGCTTGCGACTGACCTCCTGTAGGACTGTCATAGACGCTTTGATCGAATACTAGGTGGTAATTAATGTCATGCGTCTAGACCTCCGTTTGGTATAGATTAAATTCTACCAGTCAAGTGGGTGAAAAGGAGTCTGATGTTGTGTTCCACTAGTTAGGTGTGCTCAAATTGATGTTGAGCAACAAACATATAGGTGATTCTAAGATAAAATATAACAGAACTGCATTGTTCTCTTTAGCAATACTTCCTACGAATACATGACTTCCTGAAAACAATAATTTTTATAGTTATTACTACTATAGTTTATGAGGAATAAGGTGTCGACAAGAAGAGGTGAGTTCCCTTGAAATTATTTACATCTCAGATGCAAAACCTAATGCAAAATATAGTTCTTAGACGAAAGAATCTAACAAAAGACACTACAGTTTAATCCAGATCGTTCTTTTAGACACATTAATTGTACACAAAGAGGATTATGCACTATAGCTTACACACTTGAGGTAAGATAATGTTTAGATTTCAGAGACGGTAATCACGTGTATTTTAAAAAAAATGTGAATTAAAGAAAAATAATTTAGATGCATAAGCCTCCTTAAGCGTAATTATCAACTGGCGAATGATATAATCCACCTGTAAGGCAGGTTGATATTAACCTTAAAAACAGTTTATGACTGACTGCCTGACTGGGTTTCAACGTAGAACTTCGCACAGTTTAAGTTGCCATACTCCACATAGCACATAGAGGTAGACAAAAAAAAGAAAGAGATTCAAAAGGATTACAATGAGCAGAAATGTACGGGGGAAGGAAAGGTAATATAGAAAACTATGAGGATCTGGAAGATTATAAAGATTTTTAACCACATCACTGACAGCCTTAAGCCATTTGTTTTTAGCATTACGAGGACGTCAGTCAGACAGTCTACACCTGCCTACGTGGCTCAAATCAACAGTTAAAGTCTTCATGGATTGATCCTATGTCATGATTCGGCGATCCCTATCTCTTTTTCGACGTAATCGTATGTCAGTTAACATTACTCGTCGAAGAAACTGGTGGCTCGGTGTGCGCAACATGTGTCCTAGTCCTCTCAATAGATTCACCTTCACAACCAAATCGACTGGTTCACTCTCCTTACCTAATACTCCATGCCCAAATACAAACACCATATAAAACCAATTTACACGACAGGTAGAATGCAAACATCTGTAGTCAAAGACAGCCAGCTTCATCATATCTTCCACTTTCACTGGCCATGTCTCAAAACCATAAAGGAAGATGGAGCAAACTGCTACGCAGTACACATGTGTTTCAATCGATGTCCAGATATCACGCCTAAACCGAAGATGACGTAAGCTGACATATGTGCAAAAAGTTAATACACACAGTCAACAAAAACTTCCTAACTTCAGCTTTACAAAACACTAGCGAAAAAAATATGTCCGTATAAAAATGAAGTGCCAGAGTAGCAAAAATACAAATTCTTGATGTACATCCCAAAAATGCAAATTATCCAGCACCTCAGTAAAAAACGAATAGAGCATTCTACAAAAGGCATCAATTACAACTTGTAGAAGTCTAAAAACTATATTGCTGATGAATGGATATTCCAGTAAAACATAAAACACCTCACAGTTTTAGTTAGCGTTATGCCCATCACTGTATAACTCAAACAACGAGATTTCCCAGTCTCTTTACAAGGCAGTTTGAAAACCAATTACTGTTAATTTGATACAGAAAAAACAAGCATTTTCAGATCAATTGAATATAAATCAAGCATACCTAAGTTCAGAACCAAATAGATCCAATTCAATGTGTCGACAAGAACGCGAACTGTTATTGTATAACTCTTGATTAACAACTAGAGCAGTGTAGACATAGTTCTCCGTTCCGTAAGGTCTAAAATGCAATATAAAGCTGAATGTAATATACAGTAAACTAAAATTCATTCATTTGTCTTAATCCTTTGTTAACAAGACAAATGCACGATACTCCAGGAACCGATTGTGAAACAAATAGGCAGGAAGAAATGGAGATGGATTGGCCATACTCTTAGGAAACCATCAAGTGACATCACTAGACAAGCCATCGCTCGAGTGGAACCCGAAAGGGAAGCGGCGAGTTGGTCGTCCAAGGGTGACTTGGAGGAGGTCATGTGAAGAGGAGATGAAAACGTGTGGGCAGACTTCGAGCCAGGTGAAGACCCTAGCAGAGAACAGAACGCAATGGAGGCGCACGCCTGAAGCCCTATGTTCCTGTAGGAATTAAAGGATACAATAATAATAATAATAATACGATACTCATACACTTTATACGTAAGGCTTACGACTCGTTGTTTATTGAAAGTATTTGAAAAAAAAAGGATTTTGTTACCACTTGCCAACGAGTTTCTATTATTATTATAATCCTTAAAATCACAAACTTGGTACATTATGGATACCAAATGATGTGTCACACAGACATTCTCATAGTTTGTGAGATGGCTCAGATACTTACTGCCTGGGCGCTCAGATCAAAGAAGTTGTCTTAAGGGACTGCCCTGGCCGATGTGAGTGGTAAACAACTACTCATTTCAATCATCCAGTAGTATACATTTTTATGCAGACATAACCACTTGACAGAAATTAACAAAGTCACCTACAATTTAATCTACAATTATGATTAATAATCAGTGGCTTTGTAACTCAGTCTGATATTTTAAGCTGTACAAAAAAATGGCTAAACAGCATTGTGCCACAGACTATTTTCCTCTTTCTGATGTCGAAAACCAGAGAGCCCCAGCGACTAAGGATAATTTTAGGTTTAGATATTGTGTAAAGGCTATATGTGTGTATTTCTATTAATTAATGAAGTAGATTAAGAAGTCCATTTAGTTGCTCCATATGGCAACTAAAATTCGCAAGTAAAATATACGATTTATCAGTAAGAAATAAAATGGCTGATATCCTAATGCTCTTGTTTGTGCTTTTCTTTCCTAGTGCATAATAAAACCCCTACATTAAAACAGCAAAAATTAAAGCAGCGCCCCCAGCGCTAAAATAAGATATTACAAAACACAGGGTTTTTACGAAATAAAGTAACAACGATAGATGCGATAAAGCAAGCAAGGACAGAACACGCACAATCGTCGCTACTCAAAATAAAATACGATGGAAGACTTTTAAGCTACTGAAAACTAAGAGCATACAGATTTAAAGGTCTGAGTCTCAAATCCAGCTATTACGTAAGCATTAATAAGTTTACTGGGGCTATTGATTTTGCCGTCACTTTCCTCACGTTCAAAATTCCTACATAGGATCATTGCACGTTATGATCTTTTAAAACCTAACTAGTCAGGATAATCTGAACAGTTAATCTAGTGAAACGGCACACGGTTAAAATAAAAAAAAAACATTAAGAAATTGTTGAATTGCAAGAGTTATACCTCCTTAACTAAAAGAGTATGAGGTGAAAATTATATTTTCTGCAGTTTGGTTTGTAAGGGTTAGATATGTTTTTACGAGGTTATCACGGACTGATATCAGTTAGAGAACTATTGAAAACCAGGGAGTACTGGACAGCTGTTTCACCCTAGTTTGGGAATCATCGGCAGTACGCACCCATGCAGTAAATTCATGTGACCCATGATATGCAGAACAAAACACGACTATGTACATCATTTTCTTCACATACAATTGACTACTGATAATTACTGAACAAAAGCGATACAAAATTACACCAATTTTCGTGAAATATGAATGTTTGTATTTAAAAAAATATACAAAACTACCCTACAGTATTCTTGAGCACGTGCACCAGTCATTACTTCTGAGAAGGATAAAGTCAATCTATTATAACTCCTAACACTCAATAACCAGTACTACATGCTCAATGGAATTCAATTCTCAAGAATATAAAAAATAAAAAACAACTTTTCAAAAGTTAAAAACTAAAACTTACAACTTTTCCGGCACATAAGCTCTGTTTAGAAAGCGTGAAACGACAGGCAAACCCCAAGTCTTACATTTCAATGAATATATCCGTTCATACTGCATGTTCAGATTATCTTTATTATCACTGTATACATTAAAGAAATCCATTAACGACGAAGTCAACTGATCTCTCCAAGTGAGAAAAGTATTTTCTAAATCATCCACTTCATCACCTAAAGTAATTGCTTGTAAACGTTTAGCTCCTTGTTTACAAAGTAAACGATCGATTGATTTTCCAAAAGCATTAAAATACGTATACAAGCTGTTACCCAGTCCAAAAACCTGTAATTGAATAAAATTCGATCGTTACTTAAAGATATACAAATACATACTGACTGACTGACTGATTGACTCAGTTTCAGCATAGAACTTTGCACAGAAGTGCAACAATTCAACTTGCCACACACCATGTAGCATACAAAGTAGACAAAAGAGATTCGAAATAACTACAAGCAGAAAAGTGCGGAAGAAAGAATAGTACCGTGGAAAGCATGACGGTTTAGTGGATATGGCAGATCACTAAGAGTGAGTATCACCACTGCACCACTGAGGACGGTTTTTAAACCATATCACGAGCAGCTTTCAGCCACTGGTTAAAATATGTACCCAGTTCCTAGATTTGTTTATCACTTTACTGACTGTAATAGCCTGTATACAATGACAGGGAGTTTTCTAAATCTTATGATCGATGAAAAGCTAATGTTGAGTGACGAACACTGTTTACAGGCAACCTCATGAAATATACATATATTTTATATAGACAACTATGTAATCCATTAAGTATGGTGCACTTACCACAAAACGTAAATTATTGAATTTCTTATCAGAGTTTTCCAAATCCTCTAGAAACTTCCGACCATTATCTGTGGGTTCACCTTCACCATAAGTTGCCAGAATGAATACTGCTACGCATGTGTCCAATACAGACAAGTGTACCAGCATGTCCTTTAAAAATAGAAATGCGGACTATATTTATATGCATGGGGTATGGTAAAATGCATGAAATAAATCCCTCCCTAACTTTGAAGTTTAAATGGACCAGTAACGAATTCAAACTATAAGACAAAGCAACGACTTTTACAGTTTGCAAAGACAATTTAACATCAGAATAGAAGTTAAATATAACCAGAACGAATCTTCATTTTAGAAAGCATTCATTCAGCAAACGAAAAAAGTACATAAACTTTTGCGCCCGGTTATAGTAAGCAAACTTAGTAACCAAAGGATTTTTTTCAAAATGCTAAAGTAAGTAAAAATACTTCGAAAGTATTTTTACACAACTTATAGTTAAATTGTGAGGTAGGTTTAACTGACAGCATACAAATGAGTCCTATGTATGCGAGAACAATAGCATGTTCTTGTAAGTGTGAGTATCGAGTTCCCGCAGACTACTTTCTGGATTTTATGGATAGGTAGAATGGAACGATATTTTAAACGTCACTTTTAAACACTAGTATTGTAGTGACATCATTTCTCAAGAGTGAACGACTCAACAAGCCCTAAACCAGTAACTCTTTCAATGAGAAACAAAGTATATTATTATGCGCCATGGGTGTTGTTCTAAATCAGCATTTCGTATAAGCTTACTGCATCCTAGATATTTTCAATTAGTGCATTTTTGTGTACTATTAGTCAGGATTAGGTTTATCTCACTTTCTAAATTAATTAAAATAGTTTTTACGTACCAAATTATGGCAAACATTTTTCTTCGTATGGTGAATAGTAGTTTTATTAGTAACTGATGAAAATGAAGTAGTGTAAGGAAGATGGAGTTTCAGCTAAGGACTAATCGACAATTACATGGACTGAAAGCAGATTCACGTGTGAGGGACATTGCATATGCATAAATTTGTAGGTAACGAGTTCCATGTTAGTAATTTACTTAGGTTATCAAGGAGCCTATACGAGGATAAAAGCTAAAAAGCACTCAAATAGCTAACACACAAATATTTTAGGGTAACCATTACTTGTCAATTTCGGGCACCAAACATTGCTTCACGTGACAGAACAAGTGACATTCTTATCTATGTTACTGCTAGTTTTCTTTTACGGTTATAAGGAAGACCAAATGTGAGGTGCTTATCATATTCTGAATACACACACAAATCATAATGGATCTGGTTACGTAACATACTTTATAATGGGTTTAGAAAATGCCGATGTATAAGAGGAAATGAACTAGCCACGTGTTATACGTATCTTGTTTTAGTAGAAGGTGCAAAGTGAAGAGAATATGAATAAGTGCTACAGCATACCATGGAAAATTTGTTTTAAGACAAACTCTTTTATAGGCAGATAGGAAATTATTCTTTAAAGATCTTGACAATACTGTGATACTCTCACTAAACTATTGTAGAGAGTGACTTAGTATATGTAATATGTACCCGCAAACATCTCAGTTGACTGAATTGATCATGGGTAACATTCACACTCCTTATTTGATTCCACTACAACTGTACAGCAAACATTAAGTGATAACCAAGAATTACTAGTGAGAAGTAAACATACTTGACATTCCTGTTCCCACCAAAGCTCAAGGATTTAGGGTGAATCTGACAATGATACAAGAATATGCAACACCTAAATCAAGTATTGTTTGAGAAAATGAATCGAATTATTGGCTGTTCATAGAGACTCAAAAATTATTTCGAACAATTCTACCAATCTAATAACCCGTTGATTGATATTATTGAATATTTGCAGTAACATTAGTTAATACCTTACACCACAAAACTTGTTGCACTTACCATAGTCAAGTGCCTGAGGTCTATCACCAAGTTTTGGACGCCACAAGTATGAAGATGATGACCAAGACAAACAGCGTATTTTTTAGCAGTACCAGTCTGTGACCCATAGAAGATAGGTACTTTAATATTCTGAACAAAATAAAGGACTCTCCAAAAAACCCACGTTTAGATCCACTGCTTCCGTAAAGGTTTTATGATCGCTAACAAGCTTCGATTGACGACTAACATCACTGTCACGGCTCTTCAACATCCATTTGGGTACAACCCACATCAGTTTAGAAAACAACAAAAACACTACACCTCCAGAGAGAGCGACGACAACACGTAAACTGAGGATAGACATTGAAATGTTTTTTCCGATTTTGACACTTATTTTTGGCTAAATATTGATAATGCACGTGCTTTTATATTCACATTTATAACTAAAACAAGATAAATGTACGAAAATTACGAGCAAGAGTTCTAAGTAAACCCAATATAAACATCAGAACCTGTGTTGAGATACATATCAAAGCTTAAGAAATAAAACAAAATTTGCCACTAATTTGAGCGTACATTCCCTATAGGCTACCAAGCATCTTATAACAATAAAAATGTCCCGAAATATAATTTTTCTACAGACTAGTTGTCCAATATAATGCCTAACCGCTAGAAGGCATATTGACATACAAAATACTCATCTCTCAAGAAACAACTGAACATGTTCGCGATTGATTAGACAAATTGTGTGACGACTACACAGGAGCTCAAATATCAGTTGATAAAATATGAATGACAGCCGCGCTCTAATTTCGGCTGAGAATCTATAGTAAGCAGGTGAACAATGCTACATTTTATGATTAATAATGTAAGACCTTGTGCACTGGTACTCATATCTTAACACAAAAGGAGGAAAGAGGCCTTTGAATATGCTGTGGTGACAGTCCTCATGATTAGTTCTATCAAGTTACAAACTGCAATTTGTATGATGTATAATGATACATCATAATATTCAAGATCATTTACGATATAATACATAACACAGCACGTAGATGCATATGCAATCAGACGTAATCCATAAAACCTCATTCATCCATTACGTCAAATTTTTCCATCGAAGACATTTTGCAAACTGTTTTTACAGATATGCATGATATATCATGCATATGCCCAGCTAGCGTTATTTTCGGGCGCACTGCAGATTTTTCGGGGCAAAAAACTTCGGGCGCATCTACTTACGTGGGACATTGTCCCTAAGTCCGCCCCAAAAATCTGCAATGCGCCCGAAATCGTTGCTCGAATTCATGAATTCGCTACTTAAAGTAAAAGTGCATAACCTCTAGTATGCAGCGGATATTGCCTAAATGTGCTGCATAAAAGTTATTCAAATCACAGTCAGTCAGCTGGTTTACAGACGTATGTATACAGACGAAGTAAGTAACGTACATGTGCTTCACATACAGACGATTTATATTGTGTAATCATAGTGTGACAGATAAAATCACCAATTTTATATCAAAAACCAGCATCCTACAATAGTGAATCACTAAAACTAGTCACATCAAAAAATCACAGAAAATAGAAACACCATGAATTTATAAAGACTGATAAACCCGACAACCTAATCCATTAAACGACCTTGAGAGAACCGAATAACCTCTGTTATCGCGCTGGGGCTGAACTTCCAATATCCAATGTCGTTTTTACGCGCTAGTATTAACCAATTTGATTTCTTTGTGCTCGCCTCTTGATTGTGAGATAGAGGTTCCTGATCTTCGGTAAACTTCTGCGTAACTCGTCCCGCCACTCGACTGTCGTAGCTTTGGTTGACTCCAAAAGGAGTAGTGCCGGGATTAATTATATGTGGTTTGTAGTATGAGGTGTGTTAAGACTGTTACTACTGTGAATGGAGTTGATCCTTTCACCAGTTAGTCCTCCGGTATCGTCGTCAAGAAAAAAGAGATAATAATAATGGATATAATTAGTGAAGTTATTCAGACTAACATACAGAAAAAGAATAAGAAAACGTAACAACGGTCAGCTGATTAAATTTGAAGAATAATATGAATAATATATATAACGATAATAATGATAATAATAATAGGTGTAGTTAAAGCTGTCAGGAGAGTAAGACGGAAGAGAATGTAAAGAAGTAAAACGACAAGATTAATTGTCTACCCTTGAATTATTATTATTATTTCCTTTAGTTCCTAGAGGAACATAGGGCTTCAGCCATGCGTCTCCATTGCGTTCGGTTCTCTGCTAGAGTTTTCACCTGGCTCCAGGTCTGCCCACATGCTTTCATCTCCTCTTCACATGATCTCCTCCAGGTCACCCTTGGACGACCAACTCGTCGCTTCCCTTTCGGGTTCCACTCAAGGGCTTGTCTAATGATGTCACTTGCTGGTTTCCTCAGAGTGTGGCCAATCCATCTCCATTTCCTCCTGCCTATTTGTTTCACAATCGGTTCCTGGTTGGTTCGCTCCCAGAGATCTTTGTTGCTGATCCTTTCCGGCCATCTGATCTTGAGTATTGAGCGAAGATATCTGTTAGTGAAGGTCTGTAGCTTGTTTGAGGTGCTTTTTGTGACACGCCAAGTCTCTGATCCGTATAGTAGTACTGACTTCACATTGGAGTTGAAAATCCCGATTTTATTTTTGACGCTGAATGATGTTGACCTCCACACAGACTTGAGAGTAATGAAAGCTTGCCTTGCTTTGATATCCTCGTCAGTTCCGCCTGTAGTTGAAACAATGCTTCCCAAGAAGGTAAAGGAGGTAGTTTCTTTCAGGTTCCTTCCATTTATGCTGATTGCTGTCTGTTGTTGTTGGTGTTGGCCAGGGATCTTCATCACCTCCGTTTTCTCTATGTTCACCTGGAGTCCTATCTTTGATGCTTCTTCTGCCAACTTGTTACTTTTCACTTGCATATCTTCCAGTTTGTGGGAAATCAGGCATATATCATCGGCGAAGTCCAGATCCTCCAACTTCTTTGTGTGAGTCCATTTTATGCCTGTTTCCTCATTGCCCGCTGTTTGTCGCATTATCCAATCTACCGCAATCAGGAAAATCATTGGCGATAGTAGGCGACCCTGTCTCACTCCTGTCTTCACTTCGAAGGATTCCGTGAGCTTCCCGTTGTGGATTACTTGGCATGCAGCGTTGTCAAACAACTGTTGGATGAGATGTATAATTGTCGGTGGCACCCCGTAGTAGCGAAGTAGTTTCCAAATCACCTCTCGATCGACGCTGTCGAAGGCCTTTTCAAAGTCGATGAAGTTGAGATAGAGAGGTGACTGCCATTCCAGACTTTGTTCAATGATGATCCGTAGTGTGGCGATTTGATCAATACATGACTTGTTTCTCCTGAATCCAGCCTGTTCTGGTCGAAGTTTTTCATCCAGGGCTTGTTTGATCCTTTCCAGGATGATGCGGCTTAGTATTTTGCTTGGGATGGACAGGAGCATAATTCCGCGCCAGTTCTTGCATTGACTTAAGTCTCCTTTCTTTGGTAGTTTGAATAGGTATCCTTTCTTCCAATCCTCGGGTACTTTGCCTTCTTTCCACACCTTCTCCAGTAGTGGCGTCATCAAGTCTGCTGTTGTCTCTGGGTACACTTTCAATGCTTCTGCTGGGATTCCATCTGGTCCTGCTGCTTTTCCAGCTTTCAGCATCTTGATTGGCTTCAGGACTTCTGTTTTCGTCGGGGGGTTGATGTTCACTGGTAATTCTGCTTCCGTTGGATCTGGGCAGCTTTGCTAGTCTCGTACATGGTGCGGACATTCCATGTCCCCACACAGACTTTTTCTTTTGACGCAAGGAGATTGTTCACGCTGAAGTTTCTGTAGCAGGTTTGTTTACAGGGTGGGGTTGCTGGCCTCACGCCTGAGTTTAGTCTTTGGGTACCTGAAATAGAAGAAAGGTTAGTGGTGCGTGACCGCAGAGCCCAGGGGACATCTGCTTGAGGCCGGTCACACACGGCCTGGTGTGACTAACTACCCTTGAATGGTGTATGCGATTTTAAGGGGATAGGCCATTTGGATACAGCCCTTGTGTCACTGCATGGTTGTCCAGCCTTCGCTTAAATGCGTCCACAGACGGTGCCATAGCTATATCTGCCGGTAAGGAATTCCAGGGACGGCAAACCCACAGGGAAAAGAAGTGGGAGCGCACCCAGATCCTTGCCCTCTGATGAGCTATCCTTCTAGGATTTCCACGAGGGAGCCTATACCTACTCAACGGCAGAACAGTTTTGTTTGGGTGATTCTGGTCATTTGTTATTTTGTAGACAGCAATTAAATCCCCCCTAAGACAACGGTAGCTAAGTGTGAATAGGCCTAATTTCTTCAGCCTTTCATCATATGGTTTATTTTAGAGACCAACCACTCCTTTTGTTGCCCGTCGTTGAACTCTTTCCAAGAGGTTGGCGTCTCTTCTAAGCAGTGGGGGTGCAATAATATTATGCACTTCAAGGTGTGGTCTGACGAATGTTTTGTACAATCTTAGAAAGAGCTCAGGAGTGAGTGCACCTAATTGACTATGTGTAAAGTGTATGACCGCATATGCCCTCGCTACATCCCCCGTGTAATTTACGCTTGTGTTCATTTTCTCCGTTAGAACTAGACCTAAGTCACGTTCCGACGTTCTGCAGGAAAAGCTTCCATTGCACAGGGTGTAACTTGCATTCTGCAGTCTACAGGTGCGTAACTTCACTACTTTGCACTTATTCAGGTTGAAAGTTACGCCACTGGCCACCGCACAGTCTTCTAGACGGTTTAGATCTTCCTTTAGCCTATCTGAGTCCCGCGGCCACTTTATCACCCTCCATATCTTCACATTGTCAGCGTATAGAAGAGTCGGGCAGTTCAGGCGGCATGATAGATCATTGATAAAAATCAAAAACATCAGTGGTCCTGTTGTAATTTGGCTTGGTAATTTTTCTCGAATAATTTTCAATTAAATTGTATTATACGTTTCCTCAATTTATGGGAAAGCTTAATTTCCGTCTTGGCTTGGTGTCCTTGTCATGTGATCTGACTGCGGCACACTCTAAATGTACTGGTTGCAAGGGTTTGTGTTTCAGGTGAATTGTGTTAAATTAATGTTATAAGAAGAAGGATGGAATAGTTGGAGGGTAATATCATCTATACAAATGGTCTACTTTATGTAGGAGCTGTGCTTTTTGACAATGAAAATGACAATAAAGCATCAAGACTAAATGTCTGAGCTGCATTGTGGCATGGCTATACTCATAAATACAGTAGCTTTGCGTGCCTTACTATATTTTGAGTAATAATCAAGTGTATATTGTTTAGAGTTGAGACCTATGCACCTTAAATATAAGAATGTAGCGGTAGATAATTCCCCAGAATTATTGGCCACAGCATTCATCGCAGAACATTGGATGCTGACCCTCATTGCTCAAGTTAACTCGTTTAGCTGAAGGCTTCCGGTCAAGCATCCATGCCACTTGGTACTCCGTCGTGTCACGTTCGTTCGTGCACTAACCCTAGCTAGTTAAGCAATCATCTCGCACTCTGATTTGGTCCCGAAATATAACTCGTAATTTCGACGATAAGTTCTGGTGTTTTGCTCTGCCTTTGGTCTGCGCGGAACGAATACTATAGAAGTTGTAAGTATTAGATCTAGGGTTAGTATACTCCGTGCACATGTCAAGTGATCCACAATGGAAAACTCAGCGAAGCGTTTGGAGTAAACACAGGAGTCAGA